GTGGCATTTGTTAAGGAAATATACCTGAACTATAAATGAAGCCCTATTTTGTAAAAATGGTCTTTTTTTTTTTACCCTCTGTACACTGTGATGGGCTTGTAGGTTGAGGCTCCAGGCTTCCCATGAGGGGATGTCTGCGGGCTAGTCTTGAAGCTGTTTTCTTTGTGGTTTGCCTCCTGTCCACTGGGAAACCCATACTCCTTTCATTTTCATTTTTTCCCCAACTCTAGTGCTTTTGAACACAGAACCCCCATCCTCCCGCCACCCTCACTCCACATTCCAGCCCCATGATTTCATGGTACCAGGCGTATCTCCCCTGCCATGCCGTCAGGCTGCCTGCTGACTCGTGCAGGGGGGAACAGACGGGAACATAAACTCAACACAGAAGAGCAGGACGCTCTCTGTATATTTTTAAGGCCAGGAATCCAGTTCTCATTTAGAGGCTGTATTTTTTTAATGGCTTCTCGAACACCGAACAAAACATTTCTTGTTGCTCTTATTTCTTGCTAACATCATTCCCTCTGCACGGACATGCAGAATCACAGAAAGGAGAGAGTGTGAAAGATGTAGTAGATCATGTTTGGTCCATTCCCACCGGTCGCAATTCTTGTTTCCCACAGTCTGCCCTCTCCTGCTTTTTCTCTTTTAGTTTTCTCAAGAATTAGTGACTCCATTTCTCCTGGGGAATAATTCCTTAGTTTGATCATGGAGGGATTGATGTGAAAATATTCATATTCTTTTTTTTCAACTTGATATTCCTAGTCTTCATAACCCTTTACATTAGCGTACAGTCCCTCTTCATCCTAAGTCAAGTATTTCTGGATGGTATTTTTTTCCCCTCTTTCATTTATTAAGTTCAGAGCTTGTTTTTCTGTTTTGCTTTCTCTCTTCATCAATCAGTCCCTAAAGCCCATTAATCATTTTTTACCTCACTGAAAGCTCCTGTGCTTATTCCCATATCAGGGACCCAGGGCTGGTTAAGGTCCCTAGGTACTGGACAAAGCCCCCTGATAGGTACGTTTCTATGATAGGTTCTCTTTCTGTTTCCTCTCTCTCTCTCTCTCTCTCTCTCTCTCTCTCTCTCTCTCTCTCTCTCTCTCTCTCTTTCTCTCCCTTCTTCCCTGCCAGTCTCAGTTCCCAACTACAAACCATTTTTTTAAATAATGGTTTTAAATTATGCTTTGGGGAGATAGTCATTTGAAGACTGTGTGTGTGTGTGTGTGTGTGTGTGTGTGGTTTCAAGTGGTAAGATTGTATTTGTTCTCAGTTGCTTAAAAGATATTTTTCATATCCTAAGAGTTACAAATCTTTTAGGTCTCCTGAGGGCTTAGATCAAGTGCAATTTTGGACCATGGAACTATGATGTAACATTGTTCTTTAGGGCTATTATCTCAGAAGCAGAGAGGAAAACAAGCAGGTATGGGGAAAACAGACCATATTTGAAGAATTTGGAATTCCTGGGGAAAGGGAAGGGCAAAATTTAAGTCACCTTAGCACTCACATATCTAACGTAGATTAGCTCTTAGGAGCTAATGTTAGGTATAAAGATAAAGACTTTTTAATGTCACTTTTTTAAAATTTCAGCTTTGTTGAGATATAATTGACAAGTAAAATTGTAAGCTATTTTTAACCAGTGTGGCCGGTTACCTCAGTTGTTAGAGTGCAGTGCTTATAACACCAAAGCTGCCAGTTCGATCCCCACATGGGCCACTGAGTTGCACCCTCCACAACTAGACTGAAACAACTACTTGGCTTGGAGCTGATGGGTCCTGGAAAAACACACTGTTTCCCAATTAAAAAATATATATATATAACTATATATATATAACTATATATATATATATATAAATTGCAAGCTATTTAAACTGAACAATGTGGTGATTTGCTATCCATTGTGAAAGAATTCCCCTCATCTAGCTAATCCATCTTCTCACATATTTATTGATTGATTGATGAGAACATTTAAGTTCTAGTCTCTTAACAAATTTCAATTATACAGTACAGTGTTACCAACTGTGGCTACCATGTTTTCACATTAGACCCTCATGTGCTATACAATTTACTGGATTGGAGTACCCAATATTATAAAGGTGTCAATTCTCCTCAAAGCAATCTATAAACTCAATGTAATTTCAATCAAAAACCCCAACAATTTTTTTTTTCTTGGAACTTGACAAGATGATTCTAAGATGTATTCAGAAGTGTAGCGGGCCAAGGATGGGTAAGATACTCTTGAAGGAGAAGGTAGAAAGATATCCAGGTCCCAAGATTTATTAAAAAGGCAATTGCGATACTGTCACAGAGATAGACAAATAGACCAGTGGACCAATGGGACAGACTAGAAAGACCAGATACAGAGATACTTCATTTATGACGTGGCATTGCAGTGCAGTGGGGAAAGACAATCTTTTCAATACGGGGTGCTGGAACAGTTATGTATCTGTATAGGAAAAAAAGAAAAGAAAAAAAAGAAATTGGATGCCTACCTCATGCCATATGCATATAAGCCCAATGGATACAGACTTAAGTGTGAAAGGTAAAAAGCATACACAAACATACATATACTTTATATAAGCTTATATGTGTAAAGACACATAGCTTCATGACCTCAGGGTATAAAAGATTTCTTCTATGACATAAAAATCTGTAGTCAAAAATGATACACTTGGTAAAAGAAAGAACATCTATTCATCAAAAGATAACATAAAGAAGACAGCCACACAGTGAGATAATATATTGGACACACCCATAATTGACAACGTATTCATATCCAGAATATATAAAAGTTCTTAAATCAGTAAAAAGACAATCCAATCTGAGAGAAGTAGGCAAAATAGCTTGAATAGGCTCTCCACGAAGAGGAAATAAAAATAGACAATAACCATAAGAATTCCCAACTTCTATTAATGATCAAAGAAATGCAATTAAACCATAATGAGATGCTACCTCATATCCACCCAGATTAGCTACAACTAAAAATGCTGGCAAAGTGTTGATGTGGCTGTGGAGCAACAGGAATTGGTGGTAGAAACTGCAAATTGTTACATATTTAGAAATCCTGTAGCACACTGTAGTATAGTTGAAGATACATGTGCTTATTTTATGGCTCAGCAATTCTATTGTTAGGTGTCTACACTAGAGAAATTTGGCACACAGTTACACAAAGATACATGTATTCGAATGTTCTCTTTTTCCCTGTAACTTTTTTTTTGGCAAATTTTCAAACCTACAGCTAAGTTGCAAAATTAATACACTGAATGTAGTAAGGTCTTAATAGACGATGGCTATGTAAAACATGGTAGCTAGCAGAAAGAGCATACATGGGCTTTGAAGCCAGCAGTACCTGGCTTCAAATACCAATTCCATCACTTACTAGCTGTGTGACCACGGGCAACCTATTAATATTTGTGAGCCTCAGTTTTCTCGTCTGCAAATTGGAGGTAAGCATATGCCTACCATATTGAGTATTGTAAGGACTATATTCAATCATGTATATAAAGCACTGAGCATAAATGCCTGCAACATATTAATAGTAGTTGTCCAGTAAGTTATGGCTGCTCTTATTAATATCTTTATTGTTGTTAAAAATGATAATGATACATTTTATTTCTTTTACAACCTTTTAGTTACTGCACATTTATTGATATACTAATTCACTTTTGGTTTTTCACCATAGAATGCAAAATCACTGAAAGGGAAAATTGCATTTTTTCACCCTGTATTATATTTTTTCTTCTCATTTCCTGTTATAACTTCAATGTTAGAAAGTATAAACCAGTGGGGAAAAGTGACCATGACAAAAATGATTTTATAATTTAAAAAAATATACAGAATAATAAACTCCTTTTGCTGTACTAAAAAAAAAAAAAACCAAGTATGATTTATCAAAAGTAAAAGGGCACTGAAGATGAAAACGTTAAATACTTTATCAAGAAGTAATATTAGAATTAGAGTATATATTTCCAAATTTCTAGCCCAATATCTTGCACACTTAATTATACTAATTATATAATTAATTACACTTAATATATACATTTTATTTTATAATACTGCTGATATATCAGCAATTATTTTTAAAGAAAACTAAATTAAGTAAATAATAGCTTTTACCCCTAATATTATGGCCTTTGTTGCCTTAACTGCAAAATGAATGAAATCACGAAAAACCCTTGAGGCCCCTTTAATCACCATTGAAATTTGATTCTATGTCTGAAGTCTTTCTCAGTGACCCCCAGATCCACAGTCATCTTTCCCTCTTGGGAACTCCCACCTGTCCCCCACTATTTATCTTTCCAGAGTGATCAAGGTCATGTTGCCATGTTGTACTTACTTATCTTTTCATAAACATATCATCTGTCTCCAATTAGATTGCATTCTCTTAGGGATGCAGACCTTTTCTTATGTTGCCTTTGTATTTGTAAGTTTTTGAGTGAAAAAAAACCTCCCACATCTTAAATATGATTTTCTGTCCCTGCTCTGTGACAGAGTAGGCACCAAATAAATGCACAAGGCTGATGACTGTCAGAACGCAGTTTAAAAAACTAGGACTAGGGCCGGCTGGGTGGCTCAGTTGGTTAGAGCGCGAGCTCTGAGCAACAGGGTTGGTGGTTCAATTCCCACATGGGCCAGTGAGCTGATCTGCCAACCGGAGGCCAGATGGCTCAGCGGGTGAGAGTGCATGCTCCTAACAACAAGGTTGCTGGTTCGACTCCCACATGGGACGGTGGGCTGCACCCCACCCCCCACCTCTGCAACTGGATTGAAAGCGGTGACTGGACTTGGAGCTGAGCTTGTGCCCTCCACAACTAAAATTGGACAACGACTTGGAGCTGATGGGTCCTGGAAAAACACAATGTTCCCTTTCCCCAATTCCCCAATAAAACCTTTTTTAAAAAAACAAAACAAAAAAGTAGGACTAGCTGTCGTCACTATTGTAACACAAACATAGGATGCGTGGATTCTGCCTCAAAAGCAAATCGGTTTGTTTTCCTCTGTTCCAGAAAGATGCCGTGAAGCGAGTGTTTTCTGGCATTCAGCCTACAGGGATCCCCCACCTCGGCAATTACCTGGGAGCCATTGAGAGCTGGGTGAGATTACAGGACAAGCACAGCTCTGTGCTGTACAGCATTGTCGACCTACACTCCATCACTGCCGCCCAAGACCCAGCTGTCCTTCGGCAGAGTATCTTGGACATGACTGCTGCTCTTCTCGCTTGTGGCATAAACCCAGAGAAGAGCATCCTTTTCCAGCAATCTCAGGTCAGTTTCTCAGATTAGAACCAAGAAAACGTTCACATTCAGATTATTTGAGGGAAATTTTGAACAGCCTGTATAGCTCCTGTTAGTGATTTTAAAAAAAAAATGGTTCAAAGGTGATTTCATCAAATGTGATGGTTTCATTGTAAGGTTTTCCCTGTATTCGTATCATTAAGTACCATTATAATGCAGTAGTATTTTTTTAACTTTTCCTCCACTCTACTTGGTAAATTTATAGTGCTTCATATACCAAAAAGGTGCGTCTCATTTGTACTTCCAACCCTGGAATTGTTTTCTATACTGGGTTGCTTTCAAATTGATGACTTCATGCTGTTGCCTAATCTCCGGGGGATGAAGGATAGAATTCAGCGACTGGTGGTTTTACATAACTCCAATGTTGCTTTATTGGGTATTGCATTTGGAAGGCCTGTTGGATGAGTCCCACTGTTCATTCTTTGTGTAATAGCTTTTGAGAAGATTTGAGAGGACTAGCTAGGAAATTGGAAGGCAATGTCCAGTGTCTTGAGTCCAAGCCAAGAAAGGCTTCAGAGCAAAGCCAAAAATATTTGACTCATATCTTCACTATGGATGAATCAGTTTACTCTTGGACAGGCGGGTAGGCTGGACTACAGACAGGGCCCTTAAGAGATTTCCTAGCAAAGAAGATGAAAAACGTTAATTGGATCATACCCTCATTACATAGCTGCTTTAACCTTGTGACAAAGCCCCAGCCAAGGAATGGTATGTTATATTATACGTGTTTTGGCACATGTTACCAAGCATACACGTGTGGTGTGTGTTGTATATGTGTATATCTCCTTCCTTGATCGTAAACTTCTGATAATTATTGGTTTTTTGTATGTTTTATCACCCACGGAACTTAATGTAATGATTCACACAGAGCAACCATTTAAAAAAATATAAAATGAAATGAAAAGAACATCTTTACAAAATAAATGCAGTTATCAAGTTAAACTTGATTGCCGGCTTGGAGATAGTTTGATAAAATATTAAAATCTAATAATTAAAATGACCATAAAGGCAATTGACTTCAATTTCCTTACTTACAAGTGGTCAGGAAGCCTTTACTTACACATAACTTTTCAAATTAAATCTTGGACTGATCTAATGGTGATAAAAGTACTTAGGTTGGGGTGACCGGTTAGCTCAGTTGGTTAGAGTGTGGTGCTGATAACACCAAAGTTGCCGGTTTGATCCCCGCATGGGCCACTGTGAGCTGTACCTTCCTTAAAAGAGTCAACTATGACATTATAGCATGAAAGCAACGTGTAACCAATGATCCTGGCAGTTTCCCAATAAAATTTTTTTAAAGAAGTACTTATGTTGAACAAAACCTGTCTCCCTATAATTTTCTTTGATTCATTTAACTTCTTCTCTCAAAAATACATAATGAATCAACCCTGTCTTCCATGTGACTGCTCTTTAAATACTTGGAGATGTTTATTTTGCTCCCTCCTTACCGTACAGGACCTTTTCCCATAGGTCTCACCTTCTTCAAACTAGTTGTCCCCAGATCTCTCACCCTTTTGGTTGTCCTGCCTCGGAAACACTCTCACCTTCTCTCTGAAAGGAATGGGCCCCTCAGGTTTCACAAAACAAGGATTATTCCAATGTTCACATCCGTCTCCAACGTGATAATGCTGGTCACCATTAGAGCCACTTTTTGAGTCACCTAATGCATTTTCCAGGGGACATTATCTTCACTCCTCCTAAGCTGTTTGATACAAGCTCTTTTGATCCTTATGTGATAGAGTGTTTCTAAAAATTATATTCCCAGTACCTATTTCCATACTTCTTGAAGATGAAAATGTCGAATCCCTGCAAAGTAAGCATTGGCCAGATCGCTTTTCGAAGTGACCTTTGAAATTAAAGGCTTATTTACAACCACTTCCAATATGCAGCGCATTGAGCTCATACCTCCGGGGATGGTTACCATATTATACATTTTTTTCTCCTTTGTAAATGATTTTTGGCAGTGACCTCCAGAAGCGTCTAACGTTTGCAATAATTGAGGGATCTTCTTCCACATGGTACTTTGTTGTTCAAAATACAATTGAAAGAGAGTAACACACGATATGAGAGACTTTGTAAGAACTCCTTTGTAAAGGGTGGATCATAAAATTCACCTCCTCTTTGATTTTTTTTTAGGGTACGTAACGAGCTCATTGGTTCACCGAGTGGTTTTGGGTCTAGGTCAGAGAGTGGAAGTAACTGGCGTTGCCTGTTTCCTCAGTGGCCTTCGTGCATCTCTAAACCATCTCACAATTCCACTCCTCCCGCCCCTGCCTTCATTTCCGTTGGGCGAATTTTGATAGCTTGCCGGTAAAACCTGAGGGAAGTACTCACAGCCCACATTCCACAATTAGTCCCAAAAAGACTTCCTCAGGTGTCTTTCTGGCCTCACTTGGTCTGGGCTATTCAGTTCAACTGGAGCAACCAACCTCATTACAACTCAGCGGACAGACTAGATAGTTTATCAGGTTTTCTTTCCTTTTTACAATACTTAATAAAGAAAAATTTTAATATACCGGGGGTGCCAAAAAATGTATACAAGAGGACACTTTGGTCAGCATTGCTCAAGCAGTAGTTCGCGGTAATCAGAAGTGTCTGGACGGTGATGGGAACCACTTTGAGCACCTTTTGTAATTGCAGAAGTCAAAACGTGACTTGTATTCATCTTTTGTTATTGGTATATATTATTACAATTTCAATAGTTTTTTTCTTTCTTAAAATGTACTTACATTTTTGGCACCCTCTGTATAGAGAGAGTAAGGAGAATAGTGTCCTGTACCCCCATCACTGACTAACATTTTGTGATTTTTCTCATTGATGTTTCCTTGTTGAAGTATTTTAATTAAAGCAGATATCACACATCATAGCATTTCATTCCCCAAATATTTCAGTGTGCCTTTCTATACACTAAGGAAATTTTCTTACATAACCACAATACTGTCATCACACTTAACAAAGTTAATGATAATTCCAAATTACCATCTAATACCCAGGACATATTCAGATTATGCTGATTCTCCCAAAATATCTTTTATAAGTTGACTTGTTTGAATGATGATCCAATCAAGGTCCACACATTACATTGTGGATCTTAAGTCTCTCTCTTTTTTTTTAATGCCTTTTGATGTATTGATCAAGTTTTATTTCCCATAAAGTTAATTTTTTGGCACTTAAAAAAATTAAAACTTTGATTTATTTTATGCTCCCACTTTTATTCATGCCTTTGATATGTTTATCAGGTTTTCTTTTATTTGCTATAAAATTAGCTCATTTGAACGTAAAAATAAGCCTTAATTTTATGTTGCTTTCTCTTTGCACTAATCAGTTAGCTGATACTTAGTGGCAATATACTACCATCCCATAAAACCATTTTAACCCTCCATCGGGCGCAATTGATCTCACAGATTCATTGCACACAAATTTTCAAATCTCTAACAGTTAAGTATTGTGACTCATTGCTTCCATATCTTTCCCCTCTACCATAACCTGTCGCCAGTTGTGTTTGTGACTTAGTACAGTAAAGACATATTTCATATTTGAAAATTTGTGTGCAATGAATCTGTGAGATCAGTTGCGCCAGATGGGAGGGTTAATAGTTTGAATAGAGCTGTGGTTGCCTAGTGCCCATAGAATGCCTAGAAAGGAGAGACAAGACATCATCCCTTTAGAATGGCCATAAAGCTTTGAATTGTTCACGGAGGATGATGGGAAGTTTTTCTTATGCTTTGTCTTAAAACTGTGAAGGCATATCTTGGCTTTCACTTCTGAGAACCATTCTCAAGTATAATCAAAGAAGCTAGTCTCCCTGGCCCTGTATTTACAGTAGTCACTTAGCCCCGTATTTACAGTGTTTTAAGACATGAAAGAATAATTATAGTGTTTGTATTTTATGTCTTGCAATACAAAAATCCAGAATTAACAACAGTTTTTGTCAACCTGTGGAGCCTCTAAAAGATGGGGATTGAAGCTACTCAGCATTTTTAGATCTAGAAAAAACATCGACAAGTGACATTTATTAGAAAAGTCATCTTTTGAAATGTGTAAGATTTGCCAAGCCTTTTCATGTGTATGACCTCTCTTTTAAGCCTCCAAACAGTGCGTGAGTTAGGCATCACTGTTCTTTCATAGATCAATAAATTAAGGTATGAAGAGATTACGTAAATTAGAAAATGTACTTAGAACCATCTCTGAGGGATGCCTGGTACTTAGTAAATGTACTAAGTACCAAATATATCTTCTTCATTAGCTGCCTGAGGTCATACAGCTTGTAGGTGGCAAACCCAGGACTCTTTTTCTTCCTAGGGCACCACGCTGGGAAGATCCATTCATGGGAGAGAACCTTATTCCGCCCGCACCGTGCCTTTGTCTCAGGAGCTGGCGGCAGCAGGGCAGAGGAAAGCCAGAGCCTCATTACTTCTTGCCTGGACAATTAAATTATCCTTTCACTCCAGCATCAGTCTCAGAAATTCATAGCCCGTTCCCCACACTGTAGCCGCGCTCTACTTTCTACTTAAAATACATATGCACCTCTCTGCTCCCCTCAGGGTGAAAATCTAAACTCGGCTTATAGAAAGCCCTTACAGAATGAGGCCCCTGAGAACACCAGACAGTGATTCTTCCACTCCACCACTTTTTATCATCATCAGAATCTTTTGTGTTCAGATGACCTGATTAACTTTTACCAATAACTCTTTAAAGCAAAAATTGGAGGGTTTTTTGGTGGATGATGTTGTTTTATTTTCAGAAAATTTGATAAATCAATTCTTAACTTATAAAACAGGTAACTTAGAGATCAGCTGTTTATATATTCACAAGGTTTTTCTTGTTAGTTCCCTTATGTTGGGAATTTTGTAGTGCATTTAATTGATCATTAAATATATAACAGAAAGGAATTTAGAAAACAATTATATTTAAAGTGTTGGGAGCCAATGCCAGTTAAAATTAGTTATACCTGCATCCCCCCCCCCCGA